GAAAATATCAGACTACAGTCCACCACCTCCCCACCCCCATCCCAAATTGTCCCTGAACTCTGCTCTCCCGTGCACTCTCAGCCACAAGCCCCAATTGTCACATCATGAAAGTTGTTGTAACCATATAAACTCTATTTTATTGCAATTCGTGTCCCCACCTTTTATACCACTGTAGGTGCTCAGTGTGGGCAAGAATTTGTCTGGAGTAGTATTCCAGCAATTTACACGAGTGTCCTGCTACGTCAAGAAGTCTTGGCTTATGCCAACTACATCTACGCTTAAGAGAGCAGAGCTGTGTTTAGCAGACAGCTCAGGTCAGCACCAGAACGTGTCAGCTGCCAACTGGGATTCCAACCACAGATTTTTCCCAGATAGTGATACTATGATCCATGATTTCATGGAGCCTGGACCTTGTATCAGGTTTCCACTACGCAGCTACTAAACTGGCTTGGTGGAAGTCTCACAGAGGGACATCAGAGCCTTGTCAGCCCAGCTATATTAGCACTTTTCCATGCTGGAGCATTCCCGGGTGTGGCTGATGGGATTTCCTGCCTTTTTTGTCCCGTGGCGATAGCACGGAGTGTCCCAGAGCAAGGAAATGGTTCCCACTTCACTCCGATGTGTGATGCTTTCCTGTCGGGGAGGAGAGGGGGCTGTGCCGAGCGGTGCTTGGTGGGGTTTTGTTTGGAAGCTACTGCTTTGATACAACAGCCCTCAGGGTTCGTGGATGAGCAGGGGAGACACAAGCAACGGGGCAGCGTGTTCCTGCACTGGAGGGCCCTGAACGTTTTAATTCCCTTCAGGGGATCACATAAATCTACACTAATTCTGTTCCCAGCTTTCAAAACCAACCCCTTGGGGCTGTGGAGGGGGCTTAATATCTTCATTTCTATTCAATACGTGAGTTTCAGGGTTCTGGAGGCACTTCAGCAGCAACCTTGTCCTGGAACAAGTCTGCTGTACTCAGTGTTCTTATATCCAGCTCCTGCGTGCAGAGTGAATGAGGTTACTGTTCATGATCACAGAAAATCCAGTGCACAGAGTAATGACTGAAGGTCCTGGCTCTGGGATTCTTGCACACGGTGTAAAACAAAATCAGGCTCTATCAGAATAAACAAGATGATAGTGAACGAGCAAAGATGGGACTAGAAACGTTTGTGAAAGCAAATTACAGGGACTCAATTTAGATGGATTTTGTTTGTTTCTTAAATCGTGGAAGATTCAGTTGTAGTTGGATTCATTCCATTTTCCAAGAAAAATGGTATGGGGAATCACTGAAATACAATAGATGTTCTCCTGGGGAATTTCAGGACATGACAAAGCCTGTCCTCAGGGAGTTTCCAGCATTTCAGAGCTAAGCAGGTTCCACAGAACTGCTCTACTTACCCACATTTTTGGGTGCTTTGTCAATCTGACCCTTTTTACAACATCTATTAACGCTTCAGCCCGTATAGAATGCAATCAGTGTGGAGATCTTCCAGGCCAAATCAGGAACTAGGAGATATGACAGTTGGGCAATCCCGATACCTCTTAGTTGACAGAAAAGGATGGAGAACAGCATGTTTATGTTTCTGTGCTCCCCAGGTTTGGTCCTGGCTCCCTTGTGCTGCACAGCAAGCCCCAGGTTTGCTCCTAATGAGCTGTCTGTAGGGTGTTGTGGCTGCAGCTCCTCTGCTGCCCCGCTCCTCTCCTGCCCGCCCCTCCCCCTGCCATACCTGGATCTCACACAGTCACACCTGGGCAGGGAGTCACCAGGAGACAGATTTGATGATCATTTTCCATCCCTGTTCTGCTCCTTACGCTGCAAGAACAGGGAGGAAAAAAACACATCAGTCAAAGTGCTGGGTTACCCCGGGTAATTCAGGCTGGTTTGTTTCACATAGACATTTGGTATCATGAACCTTTTCACTTCTCAGTTCATTTTCTCTGCCCGTTCGCCACAGGGCCAACACCAGGACAAAGCCACATGCCCTTTTGGTGCACGCAGAAGGCGGTCCAGCGCCTGGGAACGGTGCTGTCTACATCCACACTTCCAAACCTGGTCATCTGGCCTGTCTGCTGGTGTATGGTGATCCATGGCCAAGTAGCTGCAGAGTTCCCCCTTAGGAGGTGGCGAGCAGTACAAATGGCCTGTCTCCTACTTCTTTTCCCCAGCAGGAACCCTTGCTTTTATTATTGTTATCACTTTATTACAGTTATTGTTCCCTGTCTGAATCTTGTCTACATGCCTAGATGTGGCCTGGCTGTGGAGGAAACAGATTTCAGTCCTCATGCTCAAGAGCACAGGAAATGCTTCCCATGGCCCCACGCCACCCTGGTGTTTGCATTTCTTTTATTGCCCGGATTACGTAGGGCTTTGAGCTCCCCACCAAAATGGGGCTCCCATCACCCAGTCACCTCCAGAGGGAAAACAGTCATTTCCCACACAGGCCTGCAGCGCAGTTCCAGGAGACAGATAAGCGAGGGATACAGAAACAAAGGCAGAGCAAAGGGAAGTGACTCACCTGCGGACCATCAGCCTGGAATACAGAAGGAATGGTCAGGAGGGGTCAGTGGCACAGCCCTGCTGCGACACGGGGCATCCTTTGTCACAGGATTTGAGATGCATGTGGACAAACAACCTTAATGCCCGTGAGGCTTCAAGGCTGGAAGGGCCCTTGTCCTTTGGATGGAAACACCCCTGCAAATTCGGACGTCCCTGTGCAGCGCCTTTATTCACTCCCTGTAGCACATTGAGGCCTTAACTTGGGCTTTCATGGTTTTTATACTGCTGGTGCTCTCCACAGAAGTGACTTCATCCCTGGGACAACGCAGTGCTTTCCCTCAGGACTGCCCTAAGCCACCCCTGCCCAAATGAAGGCCTGAACCAAGAGAGACTTCATCTCGCGCGCAAATCCAGAGCTGACGTTCTTCCAGCCCCGCGCAGGTCACACATTGAAAACCTGGGAAGTGAGCACACATGAAGTCATCCCTTCCGTACGGGCAGACAGAGGCAGAGAAATTCCAGCCTGCTTCCAGCCTTTTGTCTTCAGGGCAGTTTTGGAATTTCCTTCAGGAAGTGAGGTTACGACCCAGAGCCTTCCTCGGCGAGCAGGCTCCCGTTTCCCACAGTAGACCTTGTGCGGCGTTGACATACAGCACGAGAAGGTGAGGTTTATCTCCGCAGGCCAACTGCATCCTGTGTGAGCTCCATGGAATTTAAAAGCAACGCCAAGAGGGAGCAGCCCCAACAGAGGAAATGGAAGTGAAGCCTCTGGCAGAAGTAACGCAGCACCTATCCACATGCCGCTGCCACGGTCTTCGCCGGTGGATCAGACGCAGCGGTTGCAGAGCTGAGGCCGCCGTTCTACGTTTCATAAACTTCCTTGATGCTTGCAGTGAGTTACGAATTAAACTGGTTGTATCAGTGATATAAGTGAATGATTTCACTTGTTCTAATCCAGACGTTCAGGGTAAAACCGGCGGACATCTGGTCTGTCTTCTGTTTGTGTTTCATGATCCTTGGGAGAAGAATTGTTCCCGTAGAGGCTCTTTTAATGGCATTTAATCAATACAGCATGTGCTGCTGAAAAGTTACATTCCAGCGTTCATTCTGCACTGTACATCACCCTGTACCTGGCATCACGCATCTTACGTCCCTGCAGAATCAGCTTAATCGCAGCACGTACCCAAATCCAGCTCTTGCACTGACTTCTGCTAAGAAGAAACGCGCCCGGCAAGAAAGCCCCCCAACACCACAGAACTACCAGGGGTCTGATAACAGAATCTTTACAAAAAATCAGTTTATTAATGTTTAGAAGTCAATAAAGCTATGTGCAAATTGAACAATAAAAGTCAGAAACGTTTTAAATACTATTTTTGTTTTTTAAACCAGAAAAATAAAACCCCAATAGTTTAATTGCACTGGAAATTTTACTACAAAGGCAATACATTTGCTTTACAAAACACCACTTCTAGGAACTGCCAGTAACTGTAAATCAGTCGCTTGCTCTCAGCTATCCCAGATATACCACTTTTGTTATAGTAATACTCTAGGCGCACAAAGACTCCTGCATCTTATTAACTTATTTACATTGTACACATTCAACCCCATTAGCACAGGTTAGAAAAACAGAGAAGTAAAAAGGATGCTGTAAAACGAATACATTCAATTTAATGACAGGTACTTCTTCCATGAACTGACAGAATACAGACACCTTTGCTGAAATGATAAACATTAATAAAATGTGCCAAAATGTATTGTATTTTGTTATGGAAGTGCATTTATCTATAGTCATTTCACTTCGACGTTGCTCTTACTCTTCTGAAAGCCAAGGTACTCTTTCCAGATCTTTCCTTTGGAAAGAATAGGAACCTGACACTGAAACGCCCCTTCAGCTTTTAACTCTTCTTACTCAGGCAAAAATCCCGCTGTTGTCAATTGTATCTTCTACTATTAGACTTACTTTCAGTCACCTTAAAGAGAAATGACCTTTAGTTCTACCTTGCATTTGTCAGGATAATGCAGTTTATTTAATGCTACAGAATAACAAGGCAGTCAACATATGGGGCCAAACGCTGCTCTGAGCTACTCCATAGGATCTGACGCAGTCAAGGGAATTGTGCAGGTGAAAGTAACTGCTGGCTCCTGGTCTTCAAATGTAATACGGCCTGGCAGCAAAAATCCACAGGTAAATAAAACCCCATCAGCTTTGGACTCTGCAAGTAACACCTTACGAACTAAAACCTCTGGAAAGTGATGCCAAATTACAGCTGTACGTGGCCTAAGTTACATTTGTGTGCTCTCGTTTCTCGTTATGTGCTAATCAAACACTTCTGACCAACTATGCCAGAGCCACCCCTCGACTTCGCACAGAAAGACCTTTGTGTCAGTGGTTTGCTGCAAGTAAAGTAGAAATAACTTCACATTCTTCTCACATGGGGGAAAAAAACAAGACAGATTCATTCTCCCTCTCCCTCCTCCCCCTCTCCTTTTCTCTCACACACACCAGGCATCATTTCACCAAGGCATCAGTCTTTCAGAGTTACTAAGGAGATTTCAGGCTACGAATGCGCCCGACAATCCTGAGCTGCCTCAGTGCAAAGACAAAACACGCTCCAGGGAAAAAAGGTTTTCAAGCCAGAACAGTCTGTCCCATTTCTTGACCTCCAGCCTTGCAAGTGCACTGTTTGCCTCGCTAGAACTAATGCTACTCGCTCATTTAGCCCACCACTGCCACCACGAGCAGGAGGCCTCTCAGCTCCCCCATCTCAGAGAACAGCTCTGAAATATACCCCCCATCGTTACTCCTAAGAAGATGAGGTAACATTGCCTGAAGACATGATGGTTTCAGGATGGTCCCCTTCCTCCTTCTGCGGGTGGGAGGAGTTGTCGGACTTACTCCGACTGAACTCCATCCCTCCGATGATGGGCCTCTTAAATTTGGTCCCAGAATCCGCCGGGGGACATTTGCAGCAGCACAGAATCTTGATGAAAGCCCTGCGCATCTCTTTGTTCGTCAAGGTGTAGATGATAGGGTTCGTGGCTGAATTGAGCACGGCCAGGACTAGGAAATACTCCGCCTTGTAGAGGATCGGGCAGGACTTCACTTTACACCCCACGTCCAGTAAAAGCAGGATGAACAAGGGAGCCCAGCAGACGATGAAGGCACTCAGGACTATGATCACTGTCTTGAGCAAGGCCAGTGACTTCTCCGAGCTCCTGGTAGCTTTGGTAATGTTTTTCCGAAACGTCAGCCTGCGGCTCCTAGTCCTCACCATGGAGTAGATCCTGCAGTAGAGGACGACAATAGATAACAAAAGGCCAGTGAAAACGGTGGTGCAAAAGAGAATATAGTGCTTGTGGTAGAGAGGCAGCACGGTGGAGCAGTTGGACAGGAGGTTGATGCAGTTCCAGCCCATGATCGGGAGACCCCCGAGGATCACAGAGATAACCCAGCAAGCACTGATCAGCAAGAAGGAGCGGAAGCTGTTGCTGCCATTGTGGAGTTTCATCTTCAGCATAGTGATGTATCTCTCAATGGCAATGGCCAACAAGCTGAACACAGAAGCTGACAGGGCAACAAACATGCTGCCTTCCCTTACAAACCACTGCGAGGGGGTGAGGCTGTACGTTTTGTGCCCAGAGAGCAGGAGGTTGGCAGTGTAGGCCACGCCAGCCAGCAAGTCTGAAAGAGCCAAATTCCCAATGAAATAGTACATGGGTCTGTGAAACTTCTTGGTTTTCCAGATGGTGAGCAGGACAAAAATGTTCTCCAAGATTATAAAGCAGCAAATGATGATAAAAACCACCGATGTCACTTTTATTCCACTGTCCACGTTCTCATTTAGCTTTCCTGTGTAATTATAGTGCTCTTTGATGACATAGTTGACATCGGTGTTGGCGAGGTTGCTGACGACCTTCAGCGGCGCAGTGGTGCCAGAGCTCATGGTGATGCCGAGCACGATCCTGGCCCCGCAGCTGGCCCCACAACTGCCACACGGCCTCAGAAGCAGCAGCAGCCCTGCCAACAGGAGGCACACGGGTTAACAGGAGGCAGGCAAACAAGGCAACAAATGATACAGGTTTATCGTCTGCTTGCTCAGTTGTAGATCAGAGTCACAAACGTATTCACGGGGGACTTGGTTTTGTTCAGCTGCTAAAAAAAACGCATTTAAAAGGTGGTTTAGGCCTATTCAATAGGTTGTTGAGACAAAAAAAGTCCTGGCACGCAGAGCCAAGCAGGGAAATGCAGGAACTGCGTTACGGGACTTCCACTGACATGAAAGAGCTCAAAGCTCCCCAGCAAGAAGTTCGAGTGGATCTTTTTCTTTAGTAAGAAACACACCTTGTAATATGACAGCAGAGATTCAGAAAGGGAAAGGCCTTGGTTTGATTGAACTGCAAATGTGTGAAAGCCTGCTCAGGAATTACTTAACCTGTATTTCCCCCACTAGTAAAGTCTGACGGTGCTTTGGAAGGGGTAGTTCTGCCGTTTACTGGTGCACCCTCAGACAGCGGTGAATTCACTGATGTATATATATACAAGAGATCATTTCAAAGCTGTAAAGGGGAAAGGAGCGTGTTTGCTAACTAAATGAACATGCTTTACATGGAAAAAAGTTGAGAAAAGTCAAGACAAAAGAGGTAAATAAGGCAGGTAGCAAGCCCATTCCGTGGCTCTGGAACAAAGAACGGCAAAAGAAAGTGCTCTGCAGTTGAATAATGAGCATTGCAAACTTCTGAAACGGGCATGATGGAGGAGTACAGCTACGGAGGGAACTCCCTTTACACACGAACACGTTCCAGTGGACATTTAAACACAACTAAAGATGTGAAATCTCGCAAGAGCAGGCACAGTTGTTAAATCAAAGCCCAAGCGGCGTAAAGCAAGGAGGTACAAGGCTTAGTGGGCACCGCTCCCGCACTCCTCCGCTCCCGGTCTGCTGCTCGCACCGCTCCTCTCCCGCACCTCGCACCGCTCGGGGGCTCCAACCCGCACTCTCCTCTCCCGCACCCCGCACCGCTCTCGGGCTCAAA